TCCTTCGATTATTGCCACGGAGATTATCGAGCCTGTTGACCGTGATGAATTTTCAGCTGTTGAAACTTTTGAGGAATCTCTTGAGTTTGCTGTTCCTACTTCTATCGTCGAATTAGAATCTTTGCGCAATACCCCCGTTCCGGAAGAACAAGTTAAGTCCTGTAAGGAAACATTTGACTTGTTTTCAGAAGTTGTGTCTCAAAATGGGCATGAGCTGGATAAATCTACAGACTTTTCCGAAGACACAAAGTTAGCAGATTCAAAGTCATTCAAAATCAATGACCAGGATACGGTTAGTGAATCTGTTCTTGAAGAGGATACACGTGCTATGTCGCCAGAGGTTGAAGACGACCTTTTGACGATCCAACAGCAGAAAAACTCGAACAAATTGGATGATGTTGAGATAAAAAACCCGTGTGAACTGGATGCAGACACAGAGCCGAATTCTTTTGAAAACGATGTAAACTTCGAAGACCTTCATGTCCCTCATCCTCAATTTCCTGGTCAAGAGGACAACACAACAGAACCAGACTCTGCCAGGGACATCTCCAATGAAAACAAGCCTGAAAAATACCTTTCAAAATCCTTCAGAGACTTTTTCAGAAAGAGAAGATTGGATGAGGCTGAACCAACCGGTTCTCCCGTTAAAAAATTGAAAAAGGCTCTATCGAAATGGAATCCATTCCACAGACATTTGAAGGATTCATTGCCGGAAAATTTTGACAACTCCGAATGTCTTTCTGATGACGCCGGTGCAACCAAAAGTGCGTCAGCAGGAATCACGTCAATCACAATTGGTTCTGAAGTCTCTTCAACAGCGTATGAGTCTATGTCTATTTTGTCCTCGGAGTCCGGAATACATGGAAATGGCGAAGAAGCAAACCCCTTTCCCGATGACTTTGAGCTGGAAATCAACAAAGTGGAGGAATTGAAAACTCAGTTGGAACAAAACAATATCAACGTCTCAGATGAACAAGTGAAAGTATGTGAGGTAGATCCTGTCCTTGTGCGTAATTCTGATATGCCCTCTGGACTTTCACAAGATGAAATCAAAGAATATGAAGCGAGTCACCTAAATTCTGAGCTGGCATGTGAGTCTTCTGATTTCAATGAACACATTCTCGATACTGAGATCAAAAACGATGTCGATAGTCATACGACAGGTGATGCATCCAGGTATACCCCAATGAATGAGGTAACTGATTCCGATCATGATGAAAGCAACTTCGTTGCGGCAGTGGAAAATTCTTCAAGTGATGTGAATTTGAGGTCTGTTGATCACAAGGATGTTGCTGAAATACTGCCCGTCTTGAGTGTTCCTCCGCTTCCCAAACCGAACTCATTCATGCGTATCGCTGAAGCAAATATGGCTGATTTCAGGAACGAGACGTATTCATTCGATGATCACAGCTCACAGTCTGAAGAGGTGACACGGAGTATATCGCAAACAACTGAAAGAATTCTCAATTTCACCCATCCGATCTCTGAGGCTAAGAGGCACATTGAAGAGGTCATTTCGCTGCAAGTTCCAGATGATGAAAAAGATTATATGAGCATTGAACCATCTGTCGAATTGGGCGATGGGTCGTCCAGAAACCTGGTGAAAAATATCCAGAAGGATAGTCAACAGGATACTCCGCAGCTCCAAAATTTTGTCCGAGAAGCTGAGCAAGGTATTGTCACAGAAGGTGAAAGCCATGGAGCTGAAGCAAAAGGATCCCTGCATGATTTCAGCTCGACGAGACATGAAGAAACAGCCAATTCAGCAAGTTGCGCGGACCTCATACTGATGTCGGAATACGCAGATGAAATTCATCAAGCAGCAGAAGCTCCCAGCTTGACCCCTGCATGTGAAGCTAAACGTCCTTCTTTCAATTTGATTCCTCCCCTGACTGAAAGTCTTCGCGGACATCTGTCTGAGAACCCGGGACCTAAAGATGACACTGATCTTGATCAAAAAGCCACTGAGACTACCGCAAAAACAGATCTGGCTGCGCTCATGACTTCTAAAGTAAAAACAGAAGAACCTACCGATTTTCAATCAGAGCAAGCTCTGCTGACGATACCTGAGACAGATCCATTGAATGATTTGAAGCAGCTCCTCTTAAAAAAAGCGGAGGAGAAAATACAAAAGGCGTCAACTTCAGAACATCAGGGGGAAAATGACAGCAGGTTTGACGCAGCTGTGGACACTGTACTTCTGGCCAGGAAACAAACAGACGACACTGAAGTATTTCCAGATGAGCCTCAAACAATAGACGAATCTGATCTGAAACCTTCTATAAAAGAGGTACATCCAGAAGATGCTGAAAGTTTTCAACCAGCTGTGAAGGAGCTGACGGTCGAAAGCGGTAAAGCAAACACCAAGATAGTCGAGGCCGAATATTTACAAAATTTGCCCCAAACACCAAAAAAAACGAAGTTGCCACAAGATTTAAAAACACCGCAAATCAAGAAAACACCTCGGACGCCCGGGAACTCTGCAAGAAAAAACATGAAAGCTGCTTCTTCGCCTCCAGTAACTCGAGTATTGAGAAGCCAGGATCATCGACTGACCTCAGATGTGAAAACACAGGAGGACACGAGCGAGAATCATACAAAGGTTGCCCAATTAGAATCGACAAATTTAGGGAAGCTTGAGGAGACACAGAGTTCTATCAAGGATGTTGGCCCGTCGTCCGATAAAATAACACCCTCAAATGAGACAGGTGTCGAAAGTCCCCCTAAAGAAACGTCTGATTTCGAAATCGAGCAGACATCGGAAAATTCTTCGATTCAGCCTGTATCTGTGAAGAAGTCAAGGTCTAATGCCGGAGGAGATATAGGTGAATCTAACTCTAGTTTTAGGACTACTTCCCAAATGAAGGACGATATGCATGGAAAATCAGAAACCGATTCGAAATTTGAAGATGAGAAGACTCAAGACCAAAACATGGTCACAAAGGAATCAGAGCAGAATACTCATACAACTTCGGAGATTGGGCCGGGCGCGAAAGAAACAAGCGACTCAACGGGTCTTATAAAGGCCGTCAGTGAGGAAAATCCTGCAACAATGGATGCAAACTCTGAAAAGGAAGAACGTGGTGGCACTCTGGACTTCAATCTGGGCACATCGCGCAGCAAGCGTTCTAGAAAGAAAACACAAAAGTCATTGGAAAATAACGAAGCGAATCAAGCTGCTAATCAGTCAAAAGGAAATAATTTGGAAAATTTGGGTAAGAAAAAAAGCTCGCTGAAAGGAATGAAGAGAGAGGCCAAATCATTGCGGCAAAAAGCTAGTACGCAAGGATCTGCTGGGACAAAAACCAAAGAAGCGGCGAGTGAAAATTCAATTGAGGACAACCGGTCTCTGAGAACCAATACAGATGATTTCGTGAAGACAGATGGCGAAGAGCTGCAAACCTTCCGTACAGGCAAACCCTCTCGGAAACCTCGTGTGGCCAAAAAGAGAAAGCAAGCTGAAGCGCCCAAACAAGATGCTTCACCTGTACTGCAATTGACTGATCCATTGACAACTCCAGACGAACACTTGAAGGTTAAGGAACACGATTCCGAGGACCATCCTTCTTTGCGCACAAGATCAAAGTCTCCAATAAAGAGAAGCATACAAGAGCTTTCCACAGAAATAGATACAGGGGGGCCAAGCAAAAAGAAACGGAACATCAAGCGGCGAAACTCCAAGAAGGTGAATGCAGCAGATGCAGTTAAGGAGCAAGATAAACGCGGGAGACGTAGACATAGATGAATATTCTTTTTATATGAACTAAGCACTTACCCAAAGGGCAATCCAACCTTTTTCGTATACGCTCTAGCTTATTTTGAAAGTCAGGCGACGCAGAACACCAAGTAGATTGAATTTACAACTCTCGCTTCTCCTGGCGAAAAACAAGGGACTATCCCTTCTTCGCGATTAATGTGAGTCGGGTGTTTGAAAGGAAATGCGAGATATTGAGTCTGGGTAAAGGAGAGTCTTTTAATTGATCTTGTTTTTGCTTCCTAAAATACGGGAACCAAGGAACTCATCTTGGTGCTTAGCTGAACACAATTCTTACCCCAAAGATATGTCATCTCGATTATTGCAGGGAAGCTATGATGTAACCCAGATAATTCCGTGCTTGTCAAGTGTAAGTATCCTCGAGGTTAGCATATGCATACGTTTCCCTTAGCGAATCTCAGAAAAAAGCACCTGTGTCCATGCTCCAACGTTGCGGACGAAGATACTATTCTGGGAATATAGACTTATTTTCGCATAAAAATGGTCTCTTATTTTCTTCTGGTTTCGAGGAATCTGTGATTTGGATTAAATGCAGGAAGTCAGATGCACTTTCTGAAATGAAATGAAAAACAAGCTGAACTCTACAAGCAGAAAATGCCCCAAACATCCACACAGCCTAGAGGCTCGAAATTTGTGGAAGCAAGCACATATCTCTAGAACCAATTAGTATACAACTAGTCGTTTTCATTCTGCAGGTTGACGTAAACATGCATCTAGCCCAAGCATTTCTCGCAGACCATGTGTCAGATTAACCTCGGGAAGAAACAGTGTTCTGTCCCAATATAGGCGACCAAACAGAACGATCGACCATTAGCTATAATTATACCTGCACATACAATCCTGACCCAGGTGCAGCAGCGAGAGAAATTTCAGTCAAATCTCAAGCAAACATTGAAGGAGCTAAGTGCGGTTGATCTGATGCTGATACTAAGGTTGCTTTTCCGGATTTCACTATGCGTTCTGGTCCAAAACTAGGCTTGAAGCATGAGTCACCTTAATGACCTTCCCCTATTCTCGGAGATTTCCGAATGCCCCTATACTGCGCGTCCAGAGTTCCGCGACGCAAGCGGTTTCCTGATCTGATGCCGACGCGGCATTCTGCAGGACACATAGTCAGACATGCATAATCAACCATTGGTCAAATCGGCCTCAGCGTTTTGGCAATGACATTTACAATTCCCTAGTGTTCCCCACGCATTACGTGTTTCGCTAGTTTCCCCACAACATGCCTGGAAAACTCGTTATTGAAAGACCGTTGAGTCCGGGAGAAAACTTCTTCCGGTGCCGGACGAATCAAGGCTTCTACTATAACTTCGCTAGTGTCGCTGCCTTCTCCAGGGACGTGACCCAGGATTTACCTTTGTTGTTCCGAGCACTCAGAAAATCACTTTTGGACTATCATGTGTTCATATGCAATGTTTTCAGGGACCCCGAAGCGGAGGCCAGTCTCGTGCGGCCCATGAAAATGGCCAGCTTTGGCGATCTTGTGCAGTTTCAGCCAGAGCTGTTTTCCCCACATGGGGCCCCGGTGCCCGAAACGTGTCTTCATGATCTCTGCAGAACAGAGCTCTTTCATTTGAACGTGGAAAAGCCGCTTTTCAAAATCTTCGTGTACGGCACGCACGATGTAGCAGCGGCGTTTGAACACACGCTATTTGACGGCGTGGTGGCGCTGTATTTGCAGGAGATTCTTCTTGAGAACTTGGCATACTGCGATGACCCGGCAAACTCCCGCGAGTACTCCGAAAAATATGGACCGGCGCCAGCTTGTGTCGATTTGTCCACTGTGATCTTCAGCTATTCCGACGATGCAAAGTACTTGTGCAACTCGCTCCCACCGCCTTTGGAGACCGTGATGCAGGATCTCAATGTAGACTTCACGGACAACGATCCCCGCCACTACTCCCGAGTAGCCCCTGAGGGATACCCGGAGAAGTGGCCGGGCAGGTTCCCTGCATCGAAAGACGTGCACGTGGCGTTCAAGACAATCAACATACCCGCGGGCGATTTTGCCCGGGTCTTGGAAAAATGCAAACAAAACGGCGTCACGTTCACGGCGTACCTCAACTTGATCCAGGCGCTTGTGTTGCGGCCAATCTTCGGGGAGAAGCACCATAGTCTGAGCTTGGTGGCCATCACTTTGCGCCGGTTCCTTTCGCCCGAGAAAGTGGCCGACGGGTATAAGGACATTGTGGCCAGAAGCGACTACCGCATCTGCGGCATGTATGCCAACATGGGTGTGCCGGAACTCCTTCCTCCAGTGCAGCAGTTCTCGTGGGATCACGTGCGTGCCATCAACGGCAGGTTGGCCCAAAGCGTCAGAAACGATAGGCTCTTGAGCATGTCCAGGCGGTGGTATTTGGAGTCCAGTCCCGAGGGAGACAACGCTGAGTTTTTTGGTCCTGCCTTGGGCAAAAACGTTGCTGACGCAGTGAAGATATCCAACTTGGGCCTTGCCCGTTTTCCTGTGTACGGGAACAATAGTGGAAAGGAGCCCTGGACCGTGAACGACATCGTTTTTGCTCAGGACCTTGCACCTAATGCTGCACACTTTGTTTTCAACGCGGTCTCTTCTGCTCGGGGAGGCCTCAACATCGTCATGTCGTACTTCGACCACCGGTTTGATGATTGTGAGCACGAGAATTTCGACGCGTATCCTGGGATGTTGAAGCGTCTTTTGCTTGAGCACGCGGGCCTTTGATCTTGCGGAGAACAAGGTTCTACGATACAAATCCTGAGATACAGCTGAACGGTCTATTTTCTCTTTCGCACCCACTAATCTCTAATATATAGACTGTTTATAAATGCACGGGTGGCAATCTTTGTTTTTTACGGTGGCCTCACCGCCTCGCCAATGAGGCACGTGGCTTCGCCATGGCATGCATCGTTGCAGCCGGCGCCGGATCGTGGGCCTTGCTGCTGGGCTCTGAAGTTCGGGTGGTCACGTGACCTGGGCATGGAGGGCTCTAATGCGTTAAGCACGCCAGCTCCACCCTGTGGGGCTTTGGTCCGGGTGGCAGTTTAAGTGGGTGTCCGCGCTCCCCGTTTCTGTGTGTCCCAGATCCGAGCAGTGTCCAGAGCCTGGCCGCCACGCATAATAAATATCTAGATGAAGTGTTTCATGGAAAACTCAAAGGTGCCGAAGAACACCATGTTGACCAAGAACGTGCGAGTCATAGACACGCTCAAGCCCCGGTACATGCGCTTGGTGATTTCCAACTTGCGAGTCCTTGCCGGGTAGGGCTCGAGGCCCTGTTCCTTGCGCAAAGTGTTGGTGACAATGTCCTTCTGGATGAGCGACTTGAGCGTGTCAAACGGGAAGATGATGGCCCAGCACGTGACCCCCGACATGCCGCCCGCAAGCAAGATGGACACCGGCGACGCCGCGGACGGCGTGCCGTTGATGAGCGCATTGCAGGTCCATTTGAAGGCCTCGTATGTAGCGAAGTAGATGCCCGATCCACTGGCGTCCCTAATCACCTGGTACCGGTATCCGGAGTATAAACCCAAAGGCCCGTTCTGCCGGCAGATGGCCCTCACAGTGTCGAGCGTAGAGTGCTTGACGTAGGCGGCCGGCTTGGCCGAGGGTGCCGATTTCTGTGCCAACGACGCAATCTGCGAGTACACTTTGGTGAACTCGAAGGGGCACGAGAGGAGAGACGTGCCCACTCCTGCAGCGGCCCCGGCAAAGAAGCACACCGGGAAATTCAGCACAAACGGGTGTTTCTGCGCCATTTCCGCGGCGCCGTTCCAGCCGTACAAAAGATCGTAGCAGAGCGGCTTGGCGCCCGTGAAAATGGACACGCTGACCGAGCGCACAAACGCGGTCAGAAAGAGCGGCGCCCAGATGCCCCTGTAGAAGCCCCGGACGCCATCTTGCATGTATGATTGACGGACACAGTCGAACATCGAGGTGAACTTCTTGTACAGCTGCATCCGCGTCTTGACGGTGTCAAATGGGAACCCAATCACCGTGGCCACAAACGACGTGCCGTAGGCGATAATGGTCAGGCGGTACGGCGAGATAGACGCCGGGAAGACCCGGATCGCCACCAGCTCATCGATGTTTCCGGTGATGGCCGGTATACTGGCATTCTGGGGCCGAGACATGGCGGCAGCAGAGCGGGGATATGAGAAAGATAGAGAGCGGCAAGTGGAGCGGATCCAACAGGGGGCGGGTCGGTACAAAGCGGGGGTTCGGGGCGCCTCTTGGTGGTTTTGGGGGTCCCTAGTAAGCACAGTGCCATTTCTATATGCCCAGATAGGTCAGATCTGAGGCGCGCATGCAGTCGCGAGATCGGCCCAAGCACCGGCTGGAACTATGCTTGTCATTAAAGCAAAAGTAAGAGGATTAGAGGGGCACTTCTAGCTTCGGGGACCAAACGCTGTTTTTGTACTACAATTCGGGGATGTGGCTGGAGCATGTTCCAATGGTGGAGGGTGCCGGTCACGTGCCTCCCGTCGTCCACTGTCTGGCTGAGTCAACGTGACTCGTGCAAAAATGCTAGGGCACATCCGTAGAACAGTTTTGCGTTTTGCAGCTCGAAACTTATTTTTGCTAGTTTTTTGTTTCTGGCTTCCAGAAGTTTTCGTCTCTTCTCTATTGCAATTCCCGGTTGGCCATACTCCATGCATCTTTCAGTGAGTCGCAGGACTCGCAGATGAGTCGCGGGACTTTGATTAGGTGATTCAAAGACATCTGATGGAAAAATAATCGAGTGGGTTTATTTTTTGTCTTTTGGGAGGGGAGGGGGGATTTCGTATCTACCCAGCGTGTTTCAAATATTCAAAACCAGAAAAGGGCCTATCTCTTGTCAGACAGGCTTCGGGAGACATTATAGGTATTTTAGCTTTCATGCATGGCAGAGAATCTGCATTATATCCAGAGCTCAGTTTGACTCACAATATGATCGAAATGAGGCATCAAACCTCTGGCATGGTAGAACAGTTTATTTTCAGGAACTGGTGATGGCTCTCTTCTACCAGCTTTTACACATTGTGGCTACCTCCGTTTTGCTCCTTTAGGCCTGGTTGTGAAAAGCTTAATGATAATCCACAGAATAGTTTTTGGCCAGAAATCATTAGCAGACGTTGTCTTCAATTTATTTGGTCTGATCATTAAAGCTCACCAACGCCAAACACTCAAAAATTGATTTCATAAGACCATACAACCAGTCTGTAGATATCTTCAGTACGTCCAGGAAAAGCGTTTCAGGTGTTTTTGAGTACGAAATGTCGGTATTACCTTGCAATATCTTTATCATCTTTGAGGACCATTTTTGCACGTATTTTGTATTGAACAGAAAACCCTCAGTTGGAACACGTGGCTCCATTTTCTACTCGCATTTACTTGTATCAAGAACGCGCATATAGTCCGAAGAGAAGAAGATGGGCTTCTAGCTATGTCACCAAGAAATGACCAGTTCTCGAGTTTAAGTTTTCTGCCGGAAATTTCATTTTGGGAAACAACGGTTGAGCCATTTTTGATGCTGAGTCAACGAGTATATGACTTGCTGCTCTATGCTCGGCCAACCATCTTTGGATTATAAGTTATACTGGTTATGATCAGGCTTGAGTAAGTGAACGATGTGAAATTATTCCAGTCTCTTTTTCCTGCCCAAAGTGCGGTTCCATTTGCGAAGAAATGCATGCTTCGTAAGGTTTCTGTGATGGGAATCCCGGTTAAGAAGTCTTCAGAAAACATGAGCTGCAACCTACAAGAACTCAAAATGAACTTCTCGACATTTTATGAGGTCTCAGCTAGAGTTACAAAATTATTAAACCTAACCACTCTTTGCCCAGCTTGAGGCACAAGGAAGGCAAGGTAAAGAGGTAATTTGTAAATGATGCACGTAAACAGCGCAATCATTTGATGGCCAAAACAAAGGCAGGCTTAATTTGATGAATACATAGAGACAAGGCGGCAAAATACACACTATTTGCCTTAAGCTCTAAATAGGTGAGCACTCGGACAAATGGTGACAGCTGTTGGATTTAATCCTAAGCCCTCATTGAGTCGAATGGGAAGCGTTTAAGCCACACCACGAGTTTTGACTCGCAAGCCTATGCATATAAGCTTTATCCTAGTAAATGATTGTGTAGAGCGAATTTCTCACACAATGTCAGTACAGAGAGTGAAGCAAAACTGACTGAACATCTTTTTGGCTTTGTACTTACAGATGAGGTCAAACATATTGAAGTGTCGAAGTCTGTCAGACAAAAGGTGCTCGCGTTAATCAAGCTACTAATGACAAGATCCGAAGTCCAGCGTGGACTATTACCTTGATAGGTGGTGATTATTGATAAAAGTTATGCTTTGAAAGTGGTTGCAGCAGGCCGGCCAAAGTGGCTTCAACTACAAGAATACTAAGAATTTATCTGCGCTACAATAGTGCTGATAAAGTGGCATATCAAAATTCATCGGAAGCAAACTAAAAGATTGAACTAGTAGTAGGGGAATAGTTAGAAACGATGCGATCAAATTAGACCTTCCGCTGAGTTTTGTTCTTGTATAGCTATAAAGTACTTGTATTTTGTGTATTAGCTCAGTTTTGATAATGGAACCTATCCAAAATGCGAGAATGGCTTTTCAGAGTGTGTTAAAGACGCCCACCAACGCTTTTGGCCTATCAGGGTGATCTTTCCAAACCTAATGATTCGCAGTATATTACAGAAAAAAGTCAATGTCTTCATTAATACAAGGTTTGGTCCTGCTTGTGGATACATCTCTGGATATGAGAACACACCACAATAGTTACACTTGCGAATACCGGCAGGCCAACTACAACCACAATGAAAAACACATTTATAAAAAGGTGGCCTACATATAGGTCTAGCTCTAAGCTTTGGAAGCTTCAAAAAGTTTCAGCCTCTGTATAACCATTCTTAAATTGAGCTTAAATGTATATATTAATAGGGTATAGATCATGTGTCACCAAACAGTATGATTGTACAGCTGAAAGCAGAGCCAATGTGTTCCTTTCTGAAACCGATGGTTTCGTAGAAAATAAAAATAAAATAGAAAAACAATGCTTTTGAAGTTAGGGCTAGCCATGTTGGCAAGACAAGCTGAGTCAGGAGCTTGAGCTGTCGTACGAGAGGGAAGAGACACTTAGAAAAGCAGCTAGATCCGTATGACTCAGCTGAGACTAATTAATTTGAAACGCACACTAGATACAACCATGTTACTAAAAGCAAACCTGATTTCCACTGCTCCTTATGGCAGTCAGGGCTTGAGCTATGTCAGTCTGCTTCAAAAACGTCATGAAGAGACTGTTAGAAGCTTTTTTGTTCTTGATAAAAAAAGTCATGTCAAGGTTTGCCCTGAAACTACAAGCACGGACCATATTCAGCGCCTCGGCTGCAATTAACCCTAAGACCCACGCATAAATCCTGTGCTTCGCAGAAGCTAACAAAAAGGTTTTGAGATCGGAATCCTTTTTCTATTTTTTTTTTTTTTTTTT